CTGGAGCCCTCCAAAGTAAAATTTGTGGGGGTCTAGTGGCTTGGAGCATTTGAGATAACACTTTCAAGATAATGAACAGGTTGTCTCACCTGGTCCCTCTTATCTCCAAGAATGACACAATGCCTAGTGTACCTCTTTAGATTTTGGAGGCAACATATACCTCATTTGAGAGTGCTACTCTGGCCCATTTATTGAGTGACCTAAAAAAGCTGTTAGTGTTGAGTGGCGCTCAGAACAAGAGAAGGCTCTGCAGTAGGTCCAGGCTGCCATGCAAGCTGCTCTGCTACTTGTCATAAGATCTAGCAACTATGATGGTGTTGGAAGTGTCTGTGGGCAGATAGAAATACTGCATGAAGCCTTTGGCAGATCTCTATAGGTAAAACACAGCGTAGACCTTTAGGATTTTGGAGCAAAGCTGTGCTATCCTCTGCAGATAACAACTCTCCTTTTAAGAAACAGCTCTGACTTGCTACTGGGCCTTAGTAAAGATTGAATGCTTGGTCATGATCCATCTGATCTGTCCTGAGCTGTCCATTCAGTGCATCCTATAGTTTTCTGGTGTGTTAATAAAGATTATTTGGTTGAAAGAAAGGGTAACTTAAACTAGCTTAATAAAGGAATTCCCTGGCAGTCCAGTGGTTAGGACTCGGTGCTTTCACTGCCGGGGCCCAGGTTCAATCCTTGGTGGGGGAACTAAGACCCCACAAGCTGCGCTGCGCCGCTAAAAAATTTAAAAATTAAAAAAAAAAAGACTAGCTTAATAGAAAATCGATTTTAAAAATAACAAAGTGACTCCTAGGACCCAAGGGCAAGCAGGCAACTGGGCCTGAGGAAGGGACTCATACAACCATCTCTCTGCTCTTGTCCAAAGGTGATTCATTCACCTGCTGAAGATCAATTCTCTTTTGCTCTCTGGTCCTTATGGAAAAACATGGCTGTCCCTCAGCTACTGAGTTTACCTGTTAGAGTTTTAGCCACACAAGGAGAGAGTGACTATCCCTCTGTTTTGAGTGGGAAGGAATTGGTTGACCCAGCTTAGATGTCAGGAGTGTCTGGGTAGAGTGGATGGTGGGTGGACAAGATCACATGGTACAAAATGACTGTCACCTCTACAGATGAGATGGAGTGCTTGAGGGTAACTGGGGGCGGGGTAGATGATCCAAAGTTTCCATTTAGAGTTACATACATGCCTGATTCCCCAGCTAGATTGTCAGCTCCTCAAGGGCAGTAATAGTGGCTCGTTCATCTTCACATGCATTTTTTTGCCAAGAAACAAATATTTACCGTGTGAATTTATAACCGATTCTGTTGACCTTAACTCACACATTAGGCTCACACAAACATCCAAATTAATACATACAGACATATTCTAATAGACATTTGAACACACAATAAACACTTTTGACAGATATTTTTCTAGTTTTCTCCCCATATTCTTTCTCCCCTTCTTTCCTTCTTTTCTTTTTTTTCTTTTTTGTTTTTTGGCTGTACCGCATGATGGCTTGCAGGATCTTAATTCCCTGACCTGGGATTGAATCTGGGCCACAGCAGTGAAAGTGCCGAGTCCTAACCACTGGACCACCAGGGAACTCCCTCCCTTTCTTTTTTAAAAATAGAGCTTTGTTTTCCCCCCACCTTGGGGAAGTAGTAAATTATTTAATAATACTGTATTCCCAGACCCTTTGCAGCAAAGGTGGCAATGTCACCCAGTTCTGGCCAATAGATACTAGTAGAAATTGCTGGTAGACCATCTGTGAACACTTTGCGAAGGGGACAGGTGTGTCTGGGTTGCACCTTAACCTAAATATGTAATCAAGGAGGGCTCAACCTCCTGAAAGGGGGATAAAGGGGATAATCCCCCTGAAAGGGGGATAAACAAAATTCTTACTGATAAGAATATACAATTTCCTATGTGGTCTTCAGAAAATGTTCTGCTTTCTTCATTAAATTTGTTTTAATTAAAATTGCTAACACTGCCAATCATATTCCCATTTCATATATGCCGTTGTACTCAGTCATATTTCAATTGTCTAATAAATTTGAAAGGAACACAATCCAAAATAAATCTGATTTAATATTCCCTTTGTTTAGGCATTCTTGAGTTATTAATTCTTCTTAGGCTCAGAATAATCTTATCCAATTTTGTCCTTCTTATTGTACTAAAAGTTCTTACATGAAAAACATAGGTAGATAATTTTAAAAACCGCAAATCTTGAGTTCATGTATGATCAGAGGTCATTTACTATGTAACAAGAGATATCTGACCAATTTTAGACCCCCTAAACCATTCTGGACCCTATCTTTTGGAATCTCATTTCTTAAAGCACCCCAAAGTACAATCTCCTTAGAAGTCGTCATGCCATCCTCAACTCATTCCTGACTTCTCATCTTTGCTTACACTGTTTCCCCCTTTAATTTAGCCAAGCCCTACCTCCTTTATAAAGCCTACTTCAATTCCTCCAACTCATTCAGCTAGCCCTCTTTCAATTCTTATTCCACTCACCATCATTACCAACAAATTTTCTCAACCTTCCCAAAGGAGATTTTAGCATGTTAGTATCCAACCAAAACTCCTTCAATAAAGCCACGTTTTCAACAATGAGTACATTCTGAGCATCCCACAAGGAACGCTCTGCTGTATGCCAGGGAGACACAGCCTCTGTCCTACAGGCATTGTGGACTAATGGCTTATTCACACCGGGGGCTCACTAGAATTCTCAAGTGGTCTACAGAGTAAACTGTAAACAATTTCCAGGCCCCCCATGATCTGTGTCCAATTTATTTTGCTAATTCTATCCCCCATTATTCCTTTTCTTTTGGTTAAAATAAACTGGGCTACTTGCCCAGTCTGTACTAAAACTGATCTCTGGGTGATCATCTAATAGAAACAGTCAGCAGCTTGGTCTTTTTCTCAGTCCTCACCTCTCTAACATTTGAAAAATGGGTATCCACCCTTCACTCACCCATTCACTCTTTAACCTCGTGTAAAATGGCTTCTGCCCACAACACCCCCTTCATACTAAAACTGATTTCCAAGCGGTCACCTTGACCTGTTAATGGCCAATCTTCCAGTAACCTGGCCTTGACTCACTTTTTTGACCCCTACCCCTGGTGCTCCTATCACCCCTATACCCCACCATAGCCTAGCCTTAGAGATTCTATCTTCCCTGTGGCTTCACTTCTATCCTTTCCCATCAGTTCTGTCCATTACCCCTAAATCAGATCCTGATTTCTGATTATCTAGACTATAACAGTGATCTTCTAACAAACCTTCCTCTGTGCAGTCTCCTTCTCACTCTAACTGAAAAAAAAAAAAAAAAAGCAGATCTTACATTATTCCCTCTTCCAAACACTTATTCCCAAATCAATTAAACACTAACTCCCCAATCTGATATTCAAGTATTTCCAAGATTTTAACTGACTTCAGCATGAATGGGCATCAGTCAATGTAAACTTCCACTGCTATACTCAGCATACCCTGTGCTCCAGCCAAACCAGTCTGCTTATTTTTCACTAAACACGCAGTGTGCTTTTGCATCTCCAGGCTCCGGTTCACCTATTGTCCACCTGGACTACCCTTCCCCTCCATCTCTGCTATTCTAAATCTTATCCTCCCCTAATTTCACTTACCATGATATCTTTACTAACTCTCCACCAAATGTGTTATAGTTATTTGTGCAGTTATCATACTTCCTGACTGGATTGTAAATACTGTTCAAACGAAATACGGCTTTGAGTGAGCCCTTCTAGGTGTCAACCTGTGCTAAGTGACTTGCATGCATTATCTCATTTAATTCTCACATCAATGTTGTTAGGCTATAGCACCCTCCGCATTTAACATTAAAGAAAATGAGGCTCAAGGAGATTAGGTAGTTTGACCAAGTCATGCAGCTGATGAGGTTGAAATCATTGTTTTAGTCCGTTCAGGCTATAACAAAAATGCCATAAACAGAGTAGCTAACAACAGAAATGTATTTCTCAACAGTTCTGAAGGCTGGGAGGTTGAAGATCAAGGCACCCACAGATTTAGTGTCTGGTGAGAACCCACTTCCTGGTTCATAGGCAGCTGTCTTTTCACTGTGTCTTCACAGGGCAGACAGGGTGAGGGAGCTCTCTGGGGTCTCTTTTATAGGGGTACTAATGCCATTCATAAAGGCTCCATTCTTATGACTTAGGCGTCTCCCAAAGGCTCCACCTCCTAACACCATCACCTTGGGGTTTAGGATTTCAACATATGAATTTGGGGAGAGAACCGATTCAAACATTGTCTACAGCATTCATGTTTGTGTTACGTAGGCAGCAGTATCCATCACCTGCACTGCTCTCAAACGGTGTGGATCGGATAAGCGTGTTAAAAACTCTGTCTTCATGTAGATCAAGACTTAAATAGGGAGGTGGGGACTGAAACAGTAATGAATTAGGATGGCAGGATTCTTGGTGATGTTTCCAAATTTCCACTATTGGGTTATAGTGTTTTTGAAATAAGCATTTAAAATATATAGTTGCTAAACAGGATTGCAGCTACTCAAATATTCTCAATTGTTATGTGTAGGTTAGTTTTATCTCTCTGATTTTATTGTCATTCCCCCCCCCCACACACACACCCAGGGATATGTCTATTCTCTTGCATTCCCACAGCTTTCAGCGCATTGCTCAACATACAGGGTACGTACTTGTTGATGTTAATGTATGTGTGTTTGCATACGTGCACAGCAACTGGGTAGAGGACGTGGGTGCGTGATGCAGTGTGCGTTCCTCCTCATCCTTTTTCCCTTGAGTAGCTGCAGCCTGGATGCTTTCCTTCTCGGGGGAGGAGGTAGAACCGCTGACCCTTTAACAAGTTGTGCCTCACAGAACAGGTGTCTCCCCCGCCTCTTGGAAAAGTGGGATGGTTGGATACTTAGTGACATCAGAGACCGACTAATAAGAAATCAGGCTTCGGCAGACGAGCCAATGGGAGGTCGAGGGCGGGCCCGGTTTCCTGGGAGCCAGGCGGGCCGGGCTAGTCCTCCAGCCACAGCGGAGTCTCTGCCGTTCACGCTGCGCGCGGCAGCTCCCGCGACTCCCGGCGGCTCCAGTAGCGGCGCCGTTTCCCTGCCCGCGCTTCTCCCGGAGGCACGGCGCGGGCACCTCCCGCCGCAGCGCGGTTCCCCCGCCGCTCGGGCTCCGGCCGTAGCACGGCTCATGCCTCCGGGCGCGGAGCGCTCAGGTGGGCCGGCCGTGGCGGGGAGATAGGCCCCCGGGGGCGGCGGCGGCTGGACCATGGCCCGGAGACCCGGGGCGCCGGCCGCCTACGGGGAGGACTTCTCCTTCGTCAGTCCGCTGGTGAAATACCTGCTCTTCTTCTTCAACATGCTCTTCTGGGTGAGGCTTGGGGGTCGTGGGGGCACCTGGGCTGCAGGGCACCCCCTGGAGGGTTGAGTGGGCTGCCCGCGCTGAGCAGAGGTCGTCCCCGGATGCCCGGTTCAAGGCGAACGTGGTGAGCGGCACTGCCGAGTTTTCTGAGAAGACCGTACTTTGGGGTAATTTATCCTAGGCAGAGACACCACAGTGGCTCCTTGTCTGCAGAGCGTGTTGGGGTGGGGGATATGCAGGGGATTCAGTGCAGACTTCTGGGTATTCTCTCAGCATCGGATGAGGGTCTATGTCAGGCCAAAAAGGTGGTTTTGAGCGTCAGGAGCGGGTTTTTCTGTTGGTCCAAGGCAGACCCACTGACACACTCATGATTAGGGGATTTTTCAGGCCTGGGGGCTGTGGCCCTGCTGGCAAAGAAGAAAGAGGAAGGAGGGAAACCCAAACCTTCCCTCTCCCTTACCTCAGAGAGAATGAGTTAAGGGGCTTTCATCTCTTCCTTTTGCAGGCCTCTGCTGCCCTTCCTCCCTCCAAAGGCTGAGAAAGGACAGGAAGAGCCTCCAGGTGTGGATGTCTTTCCCAGAACTGTCCCAAACTTTGCCCCACCTTTCTCAGGACCAGGCTCCATCCCCGGGAGTTTGACAGTCTTCAGCTTCTTTAAATAGACCCTATGTTGGGCTGGAAGTCCAGGGGTCCTTTCAGAATCTTCTGCTTGGGGCTGGAAAAATAGAAAAAATATTGGACCGGGGCTGCCTAGATTCTCATCCCCACTCTGCCATTAATTGTTGACTTGACTAACCTGGGCAATATGTTCACCTCTGTAGACCTTAGTCTCCTCCTCCATAAAAATCCAGCATGATCAAGGATGCCAGAAATACTCTGCTGGAGCTGAGAATGCAGCTGGACCAGATCATGAAATGCTAGCTCAATCCTGTTTCAGGTCTAGAGAGTCCCTGAGCCTCTCTGGGTTTGCGAACATTGGGAGATCCACCCCCTTTCCCCAATTTCTCTTCCAGCACCAACTACACCAGAGCTGCTGCTCTAAGAGCCCGTTATGCTTGCCCACCTCTGCCTGAGACCTAAAGTTCAGACTTGCAGGAGGGAGGAGTCTAAAATACGTTTCCTAGGAGAGGGAGCAGACTAGGCAGCTAAGCCAGTTGCTGGAAAGGTTCCACAGGGGCCGTGGTGTGAACAGACACAAAGTACATAAGTGCTAGCCCGTTGGGAAAAATGAGAGAAATCCCAGAGGGTGGTGATGACAGCTCATTCTCAGCCATTGTACTGGGAGAAATGAAGTTTGAACTCCTAACAAATTCTCAGTTTTAGTTTAGAACTGGAAAAAAAAATTGGAAGACATCTTGTCCAGTACTCGCATCTTATTTATGAGAAAGCCAAAGCATAGAGATGTTGTTTTATCCTAGCCCAACAGCTGGTTAGTGGGCTTGGTCTGGTGATATTTTCTACTGAACCACAGTGCCTCTAGGGGCAGTCCTTGGCCCAGATGGCTGCTACTGTGACTGGGATGTTAGCAGTATTAGTAGTTAACTAGTCAACACAAGTTCCATGGTGTAGGTTCTGTTTCAGCTGGAGGTCAGGCGAGAACGGAAGAAAATCTCATCACCACTCTGCCAGGCTGGGGGATGTCCTAAGGGGAACCCCCCACCTAAAAGCAAGTTCCTGAGAACCCTCTTACATGCTCACTGAGTGTCCCAAACCAAGGCACGCCATCCTCAGAGCCAGCACCGCATCCCAGGGACCTCAGGTCCTCACTCTAACTTCCTCTATCAACCAAGGCTTCGCATGCGTCTTCTTTGGAGCCTTCTTAGGAGCACCCTTATCTGTGCTCCCCAGCTGCAACAGCTGGGTGCATCTGTTACACTGGTGTTCTCAGTAATTTTCCTGGACTTCCCCACTCTACCCCACCGGCCTTTTGCCAGATGAATGACTTTGAGAGGTCGCAGGAAGGGAGAGAGTTTGGCTCCATAGACCCATTTATCTTGGTACAAATGCTTCATTCAAGGTCAGAGGACCTGGCTAACCAAGCTGGCACCATCCCAGGTTAGAGGAGAGCCCCTTCTTGGCCCTACTTTAGACTCATAAGAAGTCATTGGCACTAGAAATGGCACACTGAAGGACAAGAGGCTCAGCTTCTTTCTGACGCCCGCTTACTGTGTGACCCCAAGCCAATATATCTGTCTCTCTGTCCTTAAGCTTTCTCCTCTAAAGGAGACATTTTTTTCTGCCTCTGTGAACTGTTTAAAGATGAATGCATCACTTTGGGGACTGTTTTCTTTCTTCAGGAGCTGAGGCTAGATCTAAGGATGCATCTTTTTTGTGCCCCAGTATCCTTGGGACATTGACCTTCCCAGGGGACAATACTCTTTCGGCATTACTGAGTGCCACTTCTCCCCCAGGTCCAGAGCCGCAGAGTTCATTCCACACAAGGCCAGCTGGAGATGAAGAGCTGCTTGCCCAGACCAGGGGTCATTTGTCTTCCCATCCCCCCTTTAGGGACTGGTTAGTGTGGGGTTTTTTTGCAGGCTTCCACCATCCCAGTCAAATTCCCCTCTTCTGCTCAGGAGGCACCTGAGTGCCATGGCTGGGACTGTCAACCCACTCCTTTTCCAGACAGAGTGCGTATTCCGGCCAGGTGCTGGGGAGCTGTGTATGGATGGTGTTCGTGTCTGGGCCTGGATCACCTTGGGATGGTAGCCAGCATTGTCGGGCTCATACTCCGTGGTGGCAGTGGCTATCCCTGCTACTTCTCTTAGAGCCCTGATCCTTGGGGCATTTGGTGTCTGACTCAGAAAGCTCCTGGCTCCTTTGGGACCAGGACCTATTCCACCTGTTCATGTTTCAAATCTCACTTCCCCTTTTGCCCAGGAGTTCTGATTTTCTCCCCAGAATTGTGCTGCTGGGTTACTGATTGTTAGGATCCTGTGGCTTGGAGAGTTGCCTCAAGATCACAAAAGTTGTATTTTAGTCTTTCAGTTAAGAAGTCGCTGACTTTCTTTACCTCCCTGTATTGGACAGCTCTGTGCAGAGGGAAGAGAGTGGGCTGGTACATGCTTTATCATTCTGGGCATACGTTGGCAGGAACATTATCAGTGCTGCCTACAGCAACCATCTCCTTCCTTGCTGATCCTTTTCCCACCCAGGGCAGCAGTTGGAGTGGCTTTTGAGTCAGGCAAAGCCCAGAAGCTCAGATCTCCTGCCCCTGTGTCTCAGCTGAGGCTTCCTTAGTGGCGATGCCTCAGGGCTCCCGTGGCGCCTCGTACATATTTTGCTTGTCAGATCTTTCTTTACCTGTGCTGCAATTATGTGTTTCTGTTTTTCTCCCCCTCTAGACTTCAGGCTCCCGAGGGTAGAGACTGCCTTATTCACTTCTGGATTCTCAGTGCCCAGCTGTGTTTGGCAGAGAGTGGGTACTTACTGAATGTTTATTGAGTGGGGAATGAGAGAGCAGAGCCTACAGGGTGGAGGCATGATGCCCTTGCTCCCTCTCTCATGGACACTAGCCTTTCAGGATGCAGCACAGCGTTAAGTCCTCCAGCATTCTTGGTTGGAGTATTGTCCTGTTTTTTTCTTCAGTGGGCCTGGCACCCCTCCCTCAAGCCAGGTCAGAAAACGTGGCAGCCATCCCCTCCAGCATCTTCCTCAGGGCCTAATTACCACACACAGCACACGTGGACCCCCTTCCAGGTCTTCCCTAGGTGGATCCAGGCCTCTGGTGAGGTATCTTCGTCAACAAATTCACTTTCCTGCCTAGGACCGCTGTATTGGAGTCCCCAGGGCACTCAGGATGCCCCACACCACCTGCAACACTATCTGTTGTAACCTGGCTCAGAAGCCATGAGGAAATGATCAGGCATCAAGCCTGGCAAAAGCCCCTCCTGAGTGACAGGGTCCCTTATGCCCCCATCCCCCCACCACACACACACACACACACACACACACACACACACACACACACACACAACTACTTAAATATGCTAGGAGGCAGAGCCCATTTCCTCCCCCATTTTTCCCCTCCTTTCCCTATAGACTAACCAGCCTGCAATAAATGAATTATAACAGTATTATTTTTTTAATATGTAAATTTATTTATTTATTTTTGGCTGCATTGGGTCTTTGTTGCTGCGTGCGGGCTTTCTCTAGTTGCAGCGAGTGGGGGCTACTCTTTGTTGCGGTGCGTAGGCTTCTCATTGCGGTGGCTTCTCTTGTTGTGGAGCATGGGCTCTAGGCATGCAGACTTCAGTAGTTGTGGCTCGCGGGCTCAGTAGTTGTGACTTGCGGACTCTGGAACGCAGACTCAGTAGCTGTGGTGCACGGGCTTAGTTGGTCCGCGGCATGTGGGATCTTCCCAGACCAGGGCTTGAACCTGTGTACCCTTCATTGGCAGCCGGATTCTTAACCACTGCGCCACCAGGGAAGTCCCTATCACATTACTTTTATAAAAACAACAACAACAACGATACCAAGAATGAAGATAAGAACCACACACTTTGCTGTCAAGTCACATGTATGCCTTCTTAACTCCCCAGATAGCTCTGTTTGCCTTGTACCAAGTAGGAAATCATAAACTTCAAGCAGCCTTTAAAAAGAATAAAAGAAAAGCATCTCTTAGAGTCTCGATAGCAGGCTGTGTGTCAGGCTGGTAACTCCAGGCTGTGAGTTTGCGTGTTTATACTATTTTGAGCACTTGTGAACTTTCCTTCCTCGTTTATACCCTTGGAAAACCAAAACCAGCCATGGCCTAAGGAAGGAGCTAAAGGGTTGGCCCAGACATTGGAGAGGAAAGAGCCCTGTGGACTCCTCTACTCCAGCAGGACAATTCCATCCTATCCAGAGGGAGAAAGCCAAGAACCAGTTTCAGACAGATAGTTGCCACTTCAGAAACCCAGGAACAATGGTGGTGCCAGGATGACCACTGTAGGACCAGTGTGTGCAGATCCTGGGCAGTGAGAGAGGAGGCCCTACAGGATGTGATTTCTTTGACTTCATCCAGAAAT